TGGTACTCGACTTGGTACTCAACTTGGTGCTCAACTTGGTACTCAACTTGGTACTCAACTTGGTACTCAACTTGGTACTCAACTTGGTACTCAACCTTGGTACTCAACTTGGTACTCAACTTAGTACTCATTACTTTGTAAGTTTGTACTCAATTTGGTACTCAGCTGGGTACTCAGCTGGGTGCTCAGCTGGGTACTGAACTTGGTACTGAACTTGGTTACCAACTTGGTACTCAACTCGGTACTCAATTCGGTACTGAACTTGGTACTGAACTCGATACTGAACTCGGTACTGAACTTGGTACTGAACTTGGTACTCATTACTTTGCATTTTACTTCGTACTCAACTTGGTACATTGAACTTGGTACACTGAACTTGGCACTCAACTTGGTACTCAGCTGGGTACTCAACTTGGTACTCAACTTGGCGCTCAACTTGGTACTCAGCTTGGTACTCAACCTGGTACTCAACCTGGTACTCAACTTGGTACTCAACTTGGTACTCAACTTGGTTCCCAACTTGGTACTCAACTTGCTACTCAATTTGGTACTGAACTTGGCACTCGTTACTTTGTACTCAACTTGGTACACTGAACTTGGTACACTCAACTTGGTACACTCAACTTGGTACACTGAACTTGGTACACTGAACTTGGTACTCTTTAGAGGTCATTCATTGTTTCTTTTTGCTCTGATCATCTGTTTGCATCTGGATTCGAACTTGGGTCTTTGTTTCTGCAGTTCATGACATGAGGGCACTGAACGGAGCTAGGGCCCTTGGTTACTTAATTTGTCATCTTGTGAAAAAACAGAAGTGAAAAACGCTGAGATTAGTTTCAGCTTGAATTCCCTCCCATCGAAAAAAATAAAATCCTATGCTTGCAGGTGGTTGCAATCAGACTCGCCTTCTTCTTCGTTCAGCATGCATGCAAACCAATGGCAAACCAAACTGGCACCAGGCGCCCACACAAAACTCAGAGATATTCAAGTCGAGAACACAGTTCGTATACAAACTCGCTTCAGATTAGCTATGGCACCTGAGCGCCTACACATCTCCCTTCCTACACTGTATTCACATCAACTGTTCACACGCACACCACACTGGATCTCTCTGGATATCCCACACACACACATACACACAACTACACTCACTCACACACTGTAGACTAACTCTAGGCTATGGCGGCTATGGCCGTCGTCTAACACTGGCTACCACCGTCTTCACCCGAATAGAACGCCCGGTCATCATAGCTGTATTTGGTGCAACTTTCAGTCTAGATACAGTGATAATGACCGGGCATTCTATTCGGGTGAAGACAGTAGCAGCGATGGGTGCTCTCTCCCTCGTAGCCGACTTCAACTTCGGGCATCTGCAGACCACCTCGCACAAGACGCCTGGGCAGCGCTTCCGCATGGCTCACGCAGAAATGAATGAATGGCTGGACGCTGCCTCTTGATTTGTACTTCTGTTGGTCGCTGGTCTGCCCCTTTTCCACCGGCCCATGGTGCACACAGTGCCACATGGTACTTGCTGACTGGACAAAGTGAGACTGGGACTGGGTACCGCTGACTAAGCAAAGTTGGACTACCCACTTGCCCACTTGCCTCTGGCCTAACGTGAGCAACACTTGAAAGGCCACTTCCGGGTCTTCCGGAAGTCTGTGGACTTGGCCTTTCGGAGCTGTAGCAGCTACGACCTTGACCTTTCAGAATTGCAACAGCTATGACCTATACACAGCTATGACCCCTACTCGACAGACCTACGGTTCAAGACCCAACACCTACACAGACCTATGACAGACAACAGTCAGCTATCAAAACACAGGTCACGGGTTCGACCCACACAAGGGTCGACTTGATACTGTACACGGGTGAGGTAAGGTCTCTAGGGATCGAGCCCTGGGACCTGCATCTGTTACAGCAAAGGTGAAAAGTGTTTCACGGTGCAGGGGTCCCCTCTATATAGCCTTAGGAGTAGGGGTAGGTAGGTAGAGAAAGACAAAAAGGAAGCTGAGACTAGAATATAGCGTAGTTTTTTTTAATGAAAAAAGCTAGGCTACCATCCGGACTGCCCGGGTCACCCTATTTTCCCAGGCGGCCCGGCCGTGGAAGGACCAGGGAAGGTCCCA